GGGGAGGGAAGTTGGAGATGGAGGAGGACGGGGCTGGAGAGGGAAGATGGAGGAGCGAGACGGGAGGCGTACGGGCGGGGACGGGGCTGGTGAGGGAAGATGGAGGGGAGCGAGACGGGAGGTGCGTGGGTGGGGACGGGGCAAAAGAGGCAAGACGGAGGGGAGCGAGACGGGAGGCGCATGGGTGGGGACGGGGGTGGGGAGGGAAGATGGAGGGGAGCGAGACGGGAGGCGTGTGGATGGGGACGGGGCTGGGGAGCGGGACATTGTTGCACCACAAGCACTCTGCAGAAATGGGCATGGGCGGGGGTAGTGCTGGTCCATGCTTCGCGGAGGGACGTCGGGAGGTGAATGGAGCGGTGGCGGGGCGAAGGTATGGTCTTGGGTGTCCAAAATGTACAGCATGCCTGCGGCAGACAATGTTGCGTTGAGCGTATGGTCGCATCACGAGCATCATTGTAGGCCGCTCCGGGTGAGTGCACAAGTAGAACGAAGCATGGGTGGGGGTAGCGCTGGTCCATGCTTCGCGGAAGTCCGTATGGGTGGGGAGTGGAGCTGTGCTGCGGGGCTGATACGATGGGGTTGGGTGTCCAAAATGTGTGCAGTGCATGCGCCAGACAGTCAAGGCATGGCCGACACGGGAGGAGCGTTATGTGCCACAAGCGCAACGTGGGAAATTGTACGGTTGGAACGAACCGTGGAGGGGGCCGTTGCTGCACCAGGCTGCCTGGAACGGTTGTCAGAAGCCATGTTGCAATGTTATTGGAGACTAGCTGCAGATTGAAAACAACCAGTTGATATATATATATATACCTGGACCTTCCACGGGTGTGTTTTTTCTGCCGCTTGGCGAAACAGCACAAATTTCAGTTGTTTGCCGTCAAAAACGCCGTTGCGCTTCGATGTTTTTACAAAGGTTACCAAACTAGCAGTTGGCAAAAGTCGCCGTTTGGTCGGGGAAAGCCGCCGTTTGGTCGGGAAAAGTCGCCGTTTCAAAACCTTGACATACCATCGAAAACATGGCAATGCAAAAAGTGCTTCAGTACAAAATAGTTGGCGTTTGCTTGAAAAAGCAGTTTTGATTGAAAAGGCGGAAAAAACATACTTATGAAGACCCAGGTAGAATCCGTTTGACCCCTTTTTGACAGGAAAAGGCCATGTTTGGGATAGTTGACCCTCCAAAACAGGGGTCACTCAGGTTCCAGGTATATGATACATCCAAAAGCCAACCCGACGAAAGACGGAACTGCCACACGCCCAACACCACACGTGGCCCAAACTGGGGATCCGTCGGAGACCGTGCGGCGCAGAGTCGGACGGAGCCCTAGAAGTATGCCAGGGGCTGGGGAGGGAAGATGGGGAGCGAGACGGGAGGCGACGGGGCTGGGGATGGAAGATGAAGGTGCATGGGTGGAGGGGAGCGCGACGGAAGGCGCGTGGGTGGGACGGGAGGCGCGTGGGGTCGGGGCTGGGAGGGAAGCGGGGCTTATACGATGGTCTTGGGCCTGGGTGTCCAAAAAGTGCGCAATGCACGCGACAGACGGTCAAGTCGTGGCTGAAACGGCAGGATTGTTGCGTCGAGCACATGGTTGCACCACCAGCATCATTGCAGGCTGCTCCGGGTCAGTGCACAAGTAGAACGAAGCATGGGTGGGGGTAGTGCTGCTCCATGCTTCGCGGAAGCCCGTTGGGAGGTGAGTGGAGCTGTGTTGCACCAGAACCGCGATGCTTGAAATATCATAGTTGCCACGAAGCCTGGAGGGGGCTGATGCTTCGTTTTGGCCTGCTAATTTGTGTTTGTTTATTTTTCCTGGGTTGTGCGCTTCTTTTTGCTTTTGGGTCCGCGGGCTCACCTTGTTTTCCATCGGGCCGGTTCAGCCGCTTCCAGCCCTTGCCGTCGTTTCAGCGCTCGGAGACCTGCGATGAGGTGCTCGCCCGCAGTGAGGGCTCCGAAGACCCGTCCACCGGGACGTGGGGAGCCAAGGTTCGGGAGGAGGTTGGTGTGGCCGGAGTATGCTAGTAAGGCCAGGAGCCCCTAGACCCTAGTAGCTTCTCGTTACTAATAGTAAGAATGCTCCTAGTAGCGATGCCAGGAGCCCCTAGTAGCGTCCTTGCTCCTAGTAGTAAGGCCAGGAGCCCCTAGACCCTAGTAGCTTCTCGTTACTAATAGTAAGAATGCTCCTAGTAGCGATGCCAGGAGCCCCTAGTAGCGTCCTTGCTCCTAGTAGTAAGGCCAGGAGCCCCTAGACCCTAGTAGCTTCTCGTTACTAATAGTAAGCTAGTAGCGATGCCAGGAGCCCCTAGTAGCGTCCTTGCTCCTAGTAGTAAGGCCAGGAGCCCCGAGTGGAGGTCGGGAACTGGACATGTTTTGGATTCATGATTTAGACTCCCTGGGCTCCATGGTTTCGTTCCTAGTGAGTTCACCACCTGCGATTTCGCGAGGGGCCATGGAATCCACGTAACCATGATGATGGTATTAACTGTTTGGTTTTGAGTCTGGTCATGAATTAGATCACGTGCACTACCTCTCAGCAGCAACGATTGGATCTGCCTGCACTCCAGAGGACAGGCTGTGGAGATCTGTGGAATCCAAGTGATGTTTCTAGAAAAACACATATTGGAAAAAACAAACAGGTGAGTGGCGCCCCAGTTTACCGAGGCCACGAGGCCTCACCTTTCTGTTTTTATCGTGTTTGTTCATCTCTCATCTCTCATCTCGTTTGCTTGTATTGACTTGTAAAGCGTGTCGGATCTTCTATATCTTCAGAAGACCAGTACTATATATAGATCTGTATAGAAGGTACATATAGACCCCAGTCCCACCTTTCGAGGCACTTGGAGCCCTTGCCATCAGGCTTTCTTTCGTTTTCGCCCATGCCATGGGGAGATCCTTTCGGCTTGGATCGCCCACGCTTAGATTGCCCGTGATGAGGCCGGCCTTGAAAGGCTTTTGGGTCCAGGCGCTCCTGAACCACCCGGGGTGGCTCGATCTGAACCGTCAAGGGTCGCTGCTGCGACCGTCTGCTTGGCGGTGAATTATAAAGGTGTTTGATTTGGTTACTCTCAACCGTGTTGGCGCATTCTCTTCAATCACAAAGTTGGAGAAGGAAAGAGGTGAGCGATCATGTGTAAATACATGTAGATTGCATGCAAAGAGAGCTGTTTGGAGAGGGACAGACTTGTCGATGACCAGTTTGGAAGTGCATTGCATCCAAAGAAGCTGAGGTTTGAGGATGAGATTGAGTCCTACGACATCCCTGTCTTGGAATACCTCAGGACTTTGCTCGAATATAATATATATATACACATATTATATTGTTTTTTTTGTTGAACCATGTAAAAGAAAACTGCTCAGGTTCACCCCATGGGGTGGTTTACTTTACTTTCCACTTGATCAAGTTTTGGAAGTTCGAAGCGCTGCACTCGGCTGAGTTCACCTTGTCTTTTTTTTGCAATCCTTTTGCTGGATGCTTTGTGAACGAACACTATTGAGCATTATTGGATTGGATTATGTCCAAATGTTCCAGGAAAGTCACATGTTAATTTACATGATCCGACCTCGACTGTTCCAAACCCTCAAACCTATGCCGTTGTGGCTTGTCACCACCGTGTCGCGCTTCTGAAATAGGACGATTGAAGCAGAGGACTTGGACAAGGAGTTTGCCGACAAAGGTTTCAGGCCAAATCCGATGAGCCTTGAAGGGACTCTTGTCAATCTAACAGCATGTCCGAAAGCCAATGTTCTCCCAAAGGCTTATTATAAAGACTATAATAAGCGATTTCATATATAATCATATATATATTTAGTTAGATTGGAGGCAATCTCTATTAGGTAGGAGGCCATTCCTATTAGGTTGGATGCCGTCGGTATTAGTTAAACAAGCTTTATCTTTACGTTATATGATTGCATATATTTTATTCCTTGATCTCAGAAGGTAAGAGGGCCTTGCAGTTGTCCAGCTCTTAACTCTCCCGACCACTTTACAAGGACACTCCACAGACGAAGATCCAGCACTCAGCAACCAAAAGCCCGAGAAGAATCCAACACTCACACTCAGCTGGGCATGAATCCCATTGGCCCCGAACCCCGCTCCCTCAGCTAGTCGACCAAAGACCCCGAACTCAGCTTCGCCGTTGGGGACCACCTGAAGCACTGACATGGGGACCACATGCACCAGGCCTGGTGGTTCGGTTTTGAGGGTCATCACGAGGGCCCTGTGTCTCAAGTAAGTTGTCTAAGTTTTGAGGCAATATGTGTTTCCACTGCTGGCCGGACACAAAAAGGGACCGACCCGCGCTTTCCGCACTTCGGAGGGGAACCGATCTTTGAAGTCCCGAAGATCTTCTTGGCTCGGAATATCACGTTCTCTCCTTTTCAAGGGCGGCAGATCTTCGCACAAACAACATCTTCACCGCAAAAGAAATTGAACATGAATTCATCCAAAACCACGTGTCCCTCAGGCCAGAAATGGGACCTCAGTTCCCTGTGGATGTGGGAGAGAGGGATTTACACGCGTCAAGATTTGTTTCTTCGCCAGACAGGTTGATCTTCCACTTTGCGACCAACCCTTACTTTAGCAACAGTAGCTTGGAATAGAATAGATATGACCAAAAGGGAACGTGTCACAGATCATGTGGAGCTTAAGAGTGGCTTTTGCTTGCACTCTTTGGGCGAAACTGTCTCAAAGCTTGCGCTGCCGTGCACGATCCGAGGTAGTCTCTCACAGGAGCACCTTGGTTTATCATTCAGCTCGGGCAAAGAGAAACACTAACCGATCAAGTCATATAGCCTCAGGTACCATTTGGATGAGCCGAATCGGTACAACGGCGAGGTGAATGTGAAGGAGATGGCTGGTTGCAAGATCCAATGGAAGGCGGGCACGCTTTTCCAAGCCGGAATATGACCATCATGGACCAAATTCTGCAAGTTTATAGGTTTCAGGAAGTTGTGAAAACCCATGTGACACGTGTGTTAGCAATTTCCTGCTGTTTGTTTTTAAATTTGTGGTTCCTTTTGGGCAGAATTGATGTGGTTTGTTATGTTTGATTTGTTCAACATTTAGGCTAGTGTGCCAAGACCCTCTTCCAGCTGATTCCAGCTGAGCAAAGGCAAAAACCAACATGTTCAACATTCAAAAAGAAAACTCTTCGGGTAGGTTTGTGTGAGTATTTTGCGCCAGTCTGCAGATCATGTTGCATGGGACACCCTGGCACACGAATTTCAACCGCCTGAGGCCCTGAAGCGGCTCTTTTCATTTATCTCCTGCGAAGCCTATCTCTTGGAAGAACCACTCCAAGCGGATCAGCATGCCCAAAAGCAAGGGTATAACACCTGCGCTTAGAAGAAGTTTTTGCAACAGAAGGGTTCATGGAATCAAGTTGGAATCCCAGAAAAGGGGGCTCCTAACCACTAAGTTGGATGTTCCACAGTTGGATGTTCTTTTTATTTTTCGGAGGTGTTGCCCGAGATGGCTCGCAATGGCGCTGGTGAATGTGGGATCACGTCTCATTCCAAATCCGCACCAGATTTCTTGAGAAATGCTGATGGCAGACCAGCAGGCCAGATACCACTGAATCATACCAAACCATTGAAGTTTCCATGATGGTAGGCTGGGCTTCTACTCCAGCTCTTGGCTTTTGGGACATATGTCGGGTGTGGCCCATTACCAGTAACAGTCGGTAAAGATGTTGACTACTCTTGAGAAAGGCCCTTACTAACCATCATCATCCACTGTTACTGTCAATGGGATAGATATGCCCAAGGCATCGGGTCTGGCAGGCAGGGCAAGATGTCACCATGGGCAAAGTGCAGAAAGGACTGGAGACGCTGCCGCTTTATCGCTGCTGAAAACGCTTGGGATGGCACAAACGTATTGAAAGACCCACAGGTGCTTCCGGTGCGGATGGAATACACCAAGCACACCGAGCACTTCACTTTGAATGTTGGATTAGTACAGTAATAAGTGAATATTATATATATATATGTAATATGTATATATATACATTAGAGTTAAACTTGTTGGCGATTGATGGGTGCTGTGAGTCATACTTATGAATAGATGCAGCTGAAGGGAACACCAACCAGCGGGGACGCTGTTGGCACCTCCTGTTTGTTCAGACACATTTTAGGCATGTCCCCTGGTTCAGGTAATCGACTTGTACGGGGCCGTGTGTGAAAGAAGTCTGAATATTCTATCACAACTTAGACCTCCCTCCCTGTGGGAATTACTTGACAGAAACGCGAGGCTGAATGGATTGGTTGCATTGGTCGTGTGAGCCCGGAAGCTTGACCCTACTGAGCTGTTGTTTGAGGAGGGAAAAAGAAGAAGTCGGGCAAGGAGGCCTGCAGCTGACCGGTCGCCCCAAGCAAGTTGGCTCGTTTGTACCGAACCGGCTTCACAGCACTGGGACCACCAACAGCGGTCTTGGGTTGAAAGGACATCTGGATTGCGACAACAGACTCACTCGAAAAAGTCCATACTTAGGACTGAAATGCACCCGTTTGGAGGCAATATTTCCAGGAATATATGGCCTTGCAATCTTGCAGTTGCAACTTGTGAGGTTTTCGGACAGGATATGGCTGGACAAACAAGGCAAGTATACAAGTGCATTGTCAAGGTTTGCCAGTTGGTCCAAGTATTGTTTTAGGTGGTCAAGTCCTTGATGGTGCATTAATCTTCAATGATCTTACTTCCAGCCAAGCGCTCCAATTTCCTACACAAATACCTGCATCTTCAACAACTTGTGTAGTCGATTGATGCTTCTGCTTCTTTGATTCTCTGCGCGATTTCTTCCTCGGGGGTGTAAAGCTTGTCATCTACTCGACACAGTCGGAGGCCGTTGGTTATCGCAGCGCATGGAGGGTCCCACCTGGACGGTTTTGCATATGACAATACGTAGAGTAGTTCTTACCTCTTACTACTGAAAGCTCAAAGGCCTTGAAGTCAAAAGTCGTACCTGAAAGAACTGGATTTGCCGGCAATTCAACATGTTCTCGTAAGATCCAGACTCGGGTTCTAATTCTTCGACTCCTCGCCTCCACCTCCCCACCTTCCCACCGGGGTTGGACAGCGGGTGGAACACGGACGACGAAAAACCGCCCCTCTCCGCCCAGAAGATCATGGAGCCGCGGAAGTCCTTCTTCCGGAGCTTCTTTCGAAGCCTGAAGGCCGGGGTGGAGTTCGGCTGGGGAGGTCGCAGTCATGGCACCAGGACACCGAATGATTGAAAGACCTGGTCTCGGTCGTTCGCGACATGGTGGACCACACCTCCAGGTGGGTCACGCCCATTTTTTCACATGGGTCGTCGTCCGTGTCCTGTTCTGTGGGCTCGTGCTTCTCGGTGGCTTGGAGACTTCAGTAGGAGGTTTTGCTGCCAAAAACGCCGACTCAAGAGTTGCGCCTCGGTTGCGCCTCGCGTTTTCCTCTTCAGCTCGGTTCCTTTGCGCTCGGTCTTTTTCTCTTTGTGCTCGGCTCAAGGCGCGAAGTTCTTGGATTTTGAATTACAAGGTCATTTTTCAAGGTGCATGAAGCATGAAGCTTGTAAGAAGTTTAGCATTCAAGGGTTGGAAGGTGTTTCCTCCTTCGCTACAATCTCCCATGTGTTTCCGATATTCCTAGAGTCCTAGATCTTAATATCTCTGAATTACATTTATGTATGTATTGAATGACTGTTTTGCTCATGCGCTCCTACAATCTGTGGCGCGCACGAGTTGACAAGTGTTCTCAAACGACAGTTCTACACGCCGATCGACCGGATGACATTTCTGGTCGGAGAGGGAAACCGCGCGTCACTGTGCTGTTTGTATGTCCCTGTCAGAGAAACAGACCTTCAGTTCTGGACGCTCCAGGCTGACCGGTGCAAGACCTGGACATTACCCACTGCAGCTACTAACTTCATTCTCTGTTTTGAGGTCAGCATGGCATTGAAACTACACATATCGGCCCAACAATCTGCGTCGCTGCAGGAGGGGCAAGATCTACCTGAGGACTGTTGGCAGCTTGGATGTTTCTGTTTTGGTGGACCGGCCGGCGAACTTTGATGCATTTGTTTGAGTGTTTCAGCAATTGAGCACACTTTGGTGAAGACTTCATGATGAATATTTGGCAGGTGAAAGTTCCTGACTAGTTACAATGGCCTCAGAGTAGACAGCAAGACTCAGAAGATGCACCTCCATATACACATATATATATTTATAGTTATATATATGCATATGATATAGTTTAAAGTTTATATGTATCCTCATAGCTTTGCTGTGTGTGTTAAAAAAAAAGCAACATCCACATGAAATCCGCTTGGAGAGGGCTCCTGAAGACCACCGGCCCCGCGTCCCCGGTCCAGGCCATGTTGTTTCCTTTGATCGCCAGGACGTCGACACACAACAGCTTTGTATGGAGATGGGTGATGAAGACATGGACGAGGTCTTCAATAGTTCCGTTGTGTCGTTGATGTTTTTCACGGGTTGACGCCAAAAAAATCAATCATCTATATATTCATCTAGATATCCTGCGGGCACACGCGTCCAAATTCCAACTCCTACCCAGGAAGTACGTGGAGTACCTGCGAATTTCCTTTTTGGAGTTAATACCAACAGACACAGATAAGCCCACCTGTGCACTGAAAATCATCTCAAATACAACAGGTAGGTTGACAGGAAAAGGGAAAAGAGATCAGCGTTGTATTTCCATCGCTACTAGGAGCAAGAAGCTACTAGTAGCTCCTGGCATCGCTACTAGG